CCAAAACTAAGATAATCATTTTTGAATGATAGAAAATTGTCGAGAGACATCGAGTACATGTGGTAAAATTGATGATATTGAAGTCGCGTTATTTTATATTGATTCCACGAACATGAATCTACTTCAGTTTAGTAATGCTCAAAATACAACTTGGAAATAGGTCTTCCGTGTATTTGAATTATTTTCATGCCATTTTTGGATAAAGTCATTGCGTAGTTTGTTCTCCCAAAATGAGAAAAGCCAGTTTACGACGTTTTCATAGTTAAATGTATACAATTTTAGTTCTCCTAAATCTTGTTATGGGAAACGACCGACAGTTAGCGTATTATATTAATATTGACATATTTTGCACAAACGCCATTTTTAAAATCACACTCAGGTACAGTATTCTGCCCTTTTCTGTATATTTGCTAAATTTAGTGTTTCACATGTTTCATGTAGAAAATTTTGATAATTCAAATGATTGATTTTTCAAAGTCCCGAGATACGAAACGCCCCCTTATCAAACAGCGAAACGCCAAACAAAATAAACGCGATGATCTTGTATGACTACGTACCATTCATTCTAACCAGATTTAATTTAACAAAAATCGTAACATATACGTTTTACTTCAACAATGCATATTTCACTCATGTCGTTGTAAGGGAGAAAATAAGTTGTGATATATGTCACGAAATAAGTCAAGTTATTTGAAAGAGTGTCAAGGCGGGTAGCGCTATATATTTGCAATTTATTTGTAAAGTCTAACAATATATAATGTTTAACCGTAAGATATCCCATATGAAGTTTTGCGTTATTTGAAATCATCTGTTATTATAAAGCCTGTTATTATATTATTTAAAAGTTGTTGGATTTCAGTTAACGCCGATTACTTTTAATTAGGAGCAAAACGTAGGATTGTGCTTATGTTGCCCAGGGGAAGAAGAAAAAGCAAATTGAAATCGATCGTCCATCGATTTCAACATTCACTGCGTTGTTAGCAACAAACCAAATACACCCTTGGGTATTTTTTTTTCTTATAAATACCTACTTTTGTATAACGATAACAGCTTTAAAATGAAAATATTGAAGTGTAAAGTTTAGATATAGTCAACGAAGAAATTTAAACAAGTGTCCAAGAATATAGTTTTTTCATTCGTCGATCTAGGTGTCAGTCATGGTCCGGTAAAGGCAAGATTTGATAATGAGGCATACAGCTTGGCCTGGAAGAATAGTCCTAATGAGTGTTGAAACAAACAGAAATTATTGTAGAACTTTCTTACAAAAATTCGAAGAAAGAGTTCTTTATTCGCCACGAGTGGCGAACGAATCAAATATTGGTATTGTTTTGAATCGTCTATTATATTGGGGTTATTATTCCGTAATACCTCCCAAAATCTTCGATTTAAATGCTACTTTAAAATACGTCTTCCGCTGCTTGGCTGGTCAAGTGCTTACAAAACCTGAATTTATTGGTGACCGTTTTTTTCGTCACAATGGTGATAATCAATTGGCAAAAACGAATTTTTATCCGAGAGCAGGTGTTGAGCAAATCGGGTTTGTTTTTTACAACAATATTAGTCGTATCGATTTTTCTTAAGCTTTACTAGGTATGTACGGTTTTGTCAGCGCAAACATATGCTAATGTGGGAGTAAAATGAATATTTAATTCAGTTCTTTTGCGGTTTCAACTGTCGTGATTGCTGATAACCGTAGTATATTATATGTCATGAGAACGACAGACTTGAGGTTAGAAATGAAAGAGAAATTAGCTATTACATATAATTCCTAAATCCCCAAAAAACTCAAATAAAATAGATCGACAGAGCGTAACTGAAAGCGAATGAAACTGAAAGGAGGGCGTTTGGATTTTGACTTACGTCTAAATATGTTTTGTCATTAGGTTCAGCTACACACGTGATTTTGCAAGAAGATAGTCTACTATTTAATTTGTGAGAAACATATTCAGCTTGATATTGTTTATTTGTGCATTGTATGAAATCAATTATCTCACTTCATAATCGAAATATTACACCTGTCAATGATTTGTCCAGATAATATGTGATGAAGAAATTCTGTTGTTAGGTAAATATATCATTAAATAAAGGATCATTTGGCGGTGAAATTAGACAACGGAAGTATTTGTAGAATGTACAGAAAACATTTTACTACATATTGATACTAAACGAAATCTGAAACCTCAGGATTTCGACAAAAATCAGCGATAAAGCAAATACAATTATTACAAAGCCATATCCCTGATGGAGGAAAACAAATTTTTGTCAGGAGATAAAGAATGTAAGATTGAAGTTGATTTTAAAATACCATTTTTCATCAAGTTATTTTGATTTGTTTCTAATATACCACACTCATGCATTACTCTAAGCAAGGGTCAACTTTGATTCGTACAGCAGATAACGAGTATTTATAGTATAACTATATTTAAAAAAAATAATAATAAAGGTTTCGTTTCGACCACCGACCAGACTATTTCTTTAATTTCAAAACCAAATTTGTATGGACATCGTCGGGATAAATTAACCAGAACCACGTTGATTGGATATTACCCCCAGGAGAGAGCTATTGTGGTAATAGATTTTTGTACAAAAGATACAACGTAAGGTGGAACGTCGTGCAAATTCCGTAATGCCAAACTCCATTTCAAGCTTTTAAAATATTCAAAGTTAATAACTTGGCCGTGGTATATTGTCTCGTTTCAATTGCGTGCCTGTCACGCTGAAAGCGCTGTCTATCAGGTATCTGTCAAATATTTTCATGCGAGGTGAGGTACTAAATTTGTGTTTGGGTTTAGATAAAATTGAGCAGAAGTTGAGATAAAATATGTTCGATACTGTGACGCGTTTTAGTACGGATAATATTCTCAAATTTGTCTTTTGAAAATTTATAAAACGTTCCGTGCCAGAATGAAGGTTGTGAGCTTGGGGTGCTTTGCACTCGATCTACACAATTATGGAAATTGATTTTGCATCGTTTATCGGTAATTCAGTTAATCGCAAAATAAGCCATATATACTAGTTCGTATTTAAGCAAAGCCACGAGCAAGCGCATCTCGTTTTTAGCCATCAATAACAAACGTTCCACGTTTAGCCTTAGATTATTGAAATTTGGTGAATATTTTATTGGAGAATCGCGAATAATCATTTTTAGCTTCCATGTAGTTCGTTACCTTGTAAAATTATCAAACTGACTAGGATCAGACTGCACATATTCCCAAATATTCCCAAACATACTAAATAATTTGCACTGTAGTTCTGCTGTATGAGGTTTTATGAAATTGGCCCGAAACAGATTTGTCTGGTAAGAATTGAAAAGTTGGTAGGCCTAATACTCACCAATACTAGAACACAATTAGCAATCATGTCCGGATCAATGACGAAAGACAACCGATTTCGTATTGGTAGGTTGCCCCAATTTGCCTTAGCTGGTATTTTTTGTCTAATGCATAATTAAAAACGCACGGTATACGACTTAAAGATGAAAGGCTTTAGTTGAGTTCAAATGTCTGCTGTGGTTGATTTAAAGGCAGATGTAATTTATTTATAGTGATATATAACAGAATTTACAATCCAAATAATCCAAAGCCTATAGTAATAGAACTTTAATTTTCATTAATACAGAATAAAATATGGTTTAACGTCCAATGATTTCATAATCAGTTCCTCTACCAGCTGAATTAAAAATATTACTTTAAACGTATGATGAAAAATATAGAAACATTGTTTAGTATTATTTCGTATAGAAGCACTGTTTCGTATTAGCTTCCATTCAAATGAATATTATGAATATATCAGCCTCTTCGTTATGCATTAATATTTTTCGACGAAATCCGCCAACCCTCGCTGTTGGCAAAACTGCGTGCGACGAAAAATCAATCGATAAAATTGACCATTTTTTTCTGGTTGGTGGACATTCAATGCTGGCTGGATGTGGTTAAATATGTTAAAACGTATTTCCTGACTTATGTAATAATGTTACAAACCAATGAATAAGAACTATTGGACATATAAAATTATACTACGCATATCAAAAGCTAGCTATATTTTTAATGCGGTAGCATATTTACATGTTGTACAATTATATTTTGGACTATATATTACATCAGCATAGTATCCTGCATTTTAAACGAAGGAATCAACAATATAGCGTGGTATCGAACCATTTTGAATTTAAGTTCAAATCATTAAAAAATCTTTCTGCTAGAAGCGATTTAGATATATTTATCAATGACTGTAATATCTGAGTAGTCGTGATTTTTTTGCACAAAATCTTATCAAAGCACAAACTTATGCATAACAAAATAATGTAGATTCGGAAGCCATTTTTAAAAGGGATTTTAAAATATCCAAGTTGGTTAATTAAAATTTGCATAATCTCAATCGAATCCGTCAGCAATTTATTTTAAAAAGGTCACCTTCCGAACGGGAAGTAGAATTAGTGTAAAATATTCATAAACTGTTATACTTTTGAGTGCGAAGCGAGTGATGACTTGGTTGGGTTTTATCGCACCAGAAATAATATTCAAGAAACCAAAACATCATTGATTTGTACGGCGCGATATGTGGATAAAATATATATATAATATAAAAAAATATACGATTGTGGAAGTTAGAGATAATCGAGTGTTGATTGTTGTCAATTCATAATGAAAATTTCCTAGCAAAATACAAGATTTTATTTTTATCTGTTTTCAAAAATAAATAGCATGATATATTTTATTTTGAATCGCTATCGATAATTTTTTAGATACTATAGAATGCAGTTTGATTAGCTGCAAGCGCCAGAACTAAACTGAGAATAATATTTTTTACAAACTAAAAACTCCAATCTTTATTGCTTTTTCATTACTCTTTCTCGCTCTGCACTGCATTGTTCAATAGCTTCATTTTTGATATTCCATGTAAACTTAGAATGTGATTTCCAAGATTCTCCATGAATGAAGTCTCACCACTGATGTAAACACGTCAGCTACGTTACAGACAGCAGACAAAATAACATACTATTTTATCAGGTCTAGGTATTAATTAGTGATCATGATTAATTAGTAATTGTCAGACAATTGTTGGTTGTTCTGGAAGCCATCAGTAGTCAATGAGTCATTCTTTTAAATAATCCTTGTTCAAACTTGCATCAACGCTTTTCACAATACTGCAACATACTATACCTTATGGTTAGAATGGATTTTAAATGACCAGAAATCTTTCATTGGGAATATTCACTGCATTGAAAAATGGTTTCGCCGACTCTTTCGTCTGGGCAGATGGCTGTATATATACTGCTCCCAATCATTTCGTTTACAACCATAGTTATTGTGGTATATTACTGCTATCGACGTCGAAAATGTTGTTTCTCTACCAAAGAAGAGGCCTTGTTGGGAAATATGAACAAAAATAGGTGAGTTCTGTACATTTTTCTTGTAACTTGCTTTGTTCTATTTCCAAGATTCACCTGTAGATCAACAATGTCTACAATTCAACCCTATTTACTGTATATATTGTAAAGGGAATAATAATATGAATAAACAGTCAAAGTTAACACTTGTGCGAAGTTTGGTAATCAACAATGTAACAACAAAATAGCTCTCTCTACCTCTTACCTTTTTGAAAGCACATTTTATTATCCCGATTTCTGGCAAATTTGTTCATCAGAACTTCATTATTCGGAAAAAATTCGGCGTCGAGCGGTAGATGTCGTCTGAGAGCAATATACAATGGTCCGTCTTTATTGCACATGGCTCAATGTAGCAATTTTTTTATATATTTGTTTTTTTTTTTAAATATAATTTTACTAGTATATCAAATCAGAGAGGCAACTGTGACATTGTGGTGACCCCACGCTTGCTATCACGTACTAGACAAACAGGCTTGTTTTGGGCAAACTTGTCTTGAAACGCAATTCGATTATCCGTAATAATACTTTTTAGATTCACAGTTGACATGGGAAAACGGAAACGACGCAGCAGTTCGATGAATTCCAATTCATGGGACAGTTTTGATCACGGTAAAATTTTGTTGCTTCGTATTTGCCTAATTGATAAATAGTGTTGTACGTTTTATGCTGGAATATCCAAGTTAATACTATGTTATTGAAATTTGATTTCTACCACGAATCAGGATGTTCTCAGTTAGTATTAATGAGTGTGATATGTAATGCAATTTTTTCCAATTTTTGAGCCTGAGCAATAATGAAATAACTAGTGATAGCAAGATGAAAACTTATGCAAACATATAACATTTATATTTGAATTCGTAGTTCTTAGCAACAAATGATATCGTCTGTCGTTTAGAAATTAGGGCAAATAAGTGAATTTTGTAACTTGAAGCTTTGAGTGTTTCAGCATCTCATAACTTTTAGATACATACTCGTACATCAGCAGGCAATTATCACACATGGGTTTTTTTATCAGTCAGTGGTCAATCATTACGTTTCAGAAGTTAAATGAAGCAATTACTTCATTTAATTTTCTCCATTCTTTTTTTTTATGTTAGACTAACAAACCAATAAATTAACTCATAAAGGGGTTAATCAGGACAGAATTATTCTCAAAACTATGTATTTTCAAACCCTATCGGCATTACACCGCAGTGTAAACTTGTGGTGTCGCGAAAGAGTTGTTAGGATGTAACATTATGCAACAAGTAGTGGATTCCTGGAAAATCTAGCCATAATGTTCATAATATCAAATTTTTCGGAGATATGGTCTGAAAATAATAATATTGAAACGAGATAAGTGTGAAACTATATATGAAATAGTAAGACTTGCATTGTCGTCATGGTAACCCGTTGGGAAATGCCCAAATTGAAAAATATTTACTTAAGGTTATTCACAGCATTTTTTTGCCAAGCAGGCATGATGCACCCAAAATAAAATCGCAGTGTTTTTTAATATGCTCCATGAGATATCGATTTGTTCATTACAATGTAAATCGACAACTACTCGAAAATAATGATTTTTTATTAAATATAGAATATTCAAATTATGGATATTTCTACAGAAAGGAATAAATAAAAAAATAAAAAATTGCATTAGGACTTCCATACACATTAAAAGAGAAACTGGCAGCGAGGAGCGATCGATAATTATGAAAAAATAGAAGATATATATTCGTAAATATAAAATAGGGTTTTGACTCATGGTAGAAAGCTAGACGGTGAATTCTTGGTGCATCAGTGAACCGTTGTATATATATAAATATGTTGACTATAGCATATTTTTGAAAATGTTTCCACTTTGCGTGCGAGACACTTAGCCAACCTTCGTATTATTGCTATTTAAATCGTTGGTAATGCAATTCTGGACACTAACAAACAGACCTTGATGACCGACTTTGTTTGCGTACAGGCTCGCAAACCGGTCAAATTGAAATTTGTTATTCCTTATCGCTTCAAGTAAAGTATTAGCTAAAATTTCAAATATTTGGAATAGATGAGATACACCAATAGTGCCAGAATGCAGTACATTGTATTCTGCTGTAGTAATCGCGTTTACAGATTACGAGTAATCACGTCCAAAACAGAATCATTGAAACACCAAAGCAAAAACAGCGAAAAACAATAAAACACAGCGTCGAGAAGGTATATCGAGAGGACATATGTCTTTTAAAAATTCGCAGATCTTGGTGATGAGAGCAAAAAAAACGATATTATGGAAGAACGACTTGGGAAGCATGGCGAGAATAGTTAGCTTGAACTTGGCATGACTTTGGTGCGAATTCTAACCTTCATACTTACAGTTTAGTCTAGCAAAAATGTTCAAAAAGTGAGAAATGTTTCAGGCTAACAAATATAAGAAGAACTATTGTTTGAATTAAGACCATAGAATTCCTAACTTATACATTTCATTGCCCTTCTCTGTATATATTTAAAAATCTATGTCTCAAGAATTCTGCATATTGTATATATTTAATTCGGCATAAACGCATATATATTAGTTATAAACCAGTAGTTAGTATTAAATAATATTGTTTATGTTGATGATTTCAAGTAGCCGGATGAAGTAAGCCTTGTGTTCAATGATTCTACCTAAGAATGCTCACAACAATTCACAATTACTTGAGGTAGTCTCGACGAGTGGGTTCTGTTTTTCTTCATAAACAATACTTCATTGAATAGTATCATTGAATATTCAATGTCATGTTTATTTTTCTAACTTGGTCTATTCCAAGTGACACATGGCAGTTTGGATTATAGGTTTTCAAAAAATAAAATGAAAAAAGAAATAAATTAATTAATTGCAGCAACAAATATATTATTTACACTGTATGATAAGATGAGTCGTTTGTGTGACCAGGTAGACTACTGCTGAAGAGATGCCTAATGCACATGTCATCAGAAGATTTACTTATAGATTAGTCCGATTTGAATAGATACTGTGATTGTAAGATAATTTCTAATTATCTGTCTTGACCCGTATTTTTGCAAATTTCTTCATTTAAAAGATTTTCGTACAATCCAGCCCTATTCATATTTCTTGGCGTTAACTGCTGAATATTATTGAATTTATTTAATTTTTATCAGTGTCTATCGGAAATAAATTCATTGAATACAATCTCCTGGTAAACACGGTGGTCGAGCATATGGCGAATGGCTAGATATCGCATATGGGTTGCTATTCGTGATCAATGAATGGGCGTGCGTTGGGCGTGTTCATATTTCAAAATAATATACATTGCGTAATGTAATATAAATGAGTGAATTGTTTTACAACGCATCATGGCTTTTGTAAACACTTGTTGAAAATATACTGTAAGAGCGTAGTGGGAATGTTGGAAATTTTATGGCTTTTCTATTCGAAATATAACGTAAGAATCAGCAACCGCGACCATATAGTGGTTAATACTGAATCGCAAACAAAGGCCTTGTTCATCAACACAATTGATAATAGGACAACTTTAAATACAAAGCAGAAAAATTATTTGAATTTTATTTTGAAATTATGTGAATTAGTTCATAGATGTATATGAAGCATTTTCCTCAAAAAAAAATGTCAGGTTGTTTGACAATGTTTTTCAAACATCACCATCGACGTTAGGAGAAACATGACTTTGGTATTTATTTCATATTAAATAGATAAATAAATTTTCAATAATTTAACCAATTCTTAATTAGTACAGATGAGTTAAACGAAGCGCCGATAACGATTAAGGGATTTATAAAATTGTAAATTTCCTAATGTGACCTTAGGGATTCGAGAAAGATCAAAAAATATTGATTAAACTCGGAAATTTCACTGCAAAAAAAAATCAGTAGGATTTCTTGAGTACAGGTTCAAACTTGACTATCCAACAAGGTACCAAATTCCTGATGTATCAAATTTATAGGGAAAAGATAGCTATGCAGTTCGGGTAAAATTAAGTTGCGTTTGTGTCTCGTGTAATACCACCGCGTGAACAAACACATTATATTGTTTTCGTTCATTCATTATACGGATAGTGATAATTTCATGGTAATTAATTTTTATAAATAATGTTGCTGCCCGAACAAACCTCTTTCTTGCATTCCATTGACATAAAAAAAATGGAAAGATAAATATTATTGATTCAATAAGTTGAGCTTATACGCTAAGAGCAGCTTTTTACAGTCGGTGGACATAGTACATGGTGTATGCTTCATTAAATGCAATTTTCAACAATTGCTATTTTCACTAAGTTATACATAAATGTCAATGATATTCAGTGCGGGAATTGCTCAGTATATCCAAGATGACCTTTAACAAACAAATAAGTGATGTGCAACTAATTAAGAACCTAGATATTGAAGGCAAAATAGTTATAATTATGTTCAAGAAAAAAGCCAAATTTAACAAGAAATAGTTGCGACTAACAATATAAAGACCATCTATTTCCTATAATACCAGACCCTTTTTCATTTTCAGTATTACTTTATTCTGTTTTATGCTACCGGTTCTCGTGAATCATATGCCGGACACCAAATGATCTCAAATATCATTTTTGAAATCAACGAACAGGCATAACGAACATAATTTTAATGCAGAGAGTTTTCTGCATTCATCTCGACCTGCTTGCTTGTGGTGAAATAGTAGATAGTTTGTATAGATTTATCTTCAAATAGCTGAACTACTTTAGTTACCTGATAAAACTGTAGTGTAGCTTGAGGGGGCGTATATCATTTCGAAGCAATCAGCAATGAGGAACCCTTTGTTGATGTCTTGCCTAGCATTTCATCTTTACATAATGATATAGGCTACACATATTATTGTGTATGAACATGCAGGCGTTAAGTTAAAATTTTATGAAGAAGTCTATATACAATAAAAAATTGTTTGGTTTATATTTTCTGTGTCGGTTCTATTTTTGCCATATCGGAAGACAAAGCATGGATGCCATTGAGTTTGAAAATACCACCGCATCGAATTCAATTCCAGAAATGGGCAATTTAACGTGATAAACCGTCTTTCTTTTCTGGTATATTCAGATTAAATTTTCATATAAGATAAGACCTATCTTTTAAAATCAATTAGTAAGTCAACCGAAATATTATTGATTTGCTAATTGATTTCCATGTTTTGGCAAATGACGCAGTCGTCTCATGGTAGTACTGGTGCCAGTTCAAGAACTTAATTACCTCTTTCAGAATATCAACGAAGCTTCAGTAGGAATCAACACATCAATAACAATTCTGAAAAAGGAGTATCAACTATTATATCAATTGGAACTCCACGACCTGATATAAAAAGGTCGGCGGTTGTTGGACAAGCGGCTACCAGAGACACAAACCTATTATCAGGGGCTTACCATCCACAAAGACGAGCGACGTCGCCGGCACAAAGTTTACCCGAGAGCGGCGGCAAATCGCCGGTTGACTATAATTCAATATCGGACTTGTATGCGCGACATCATAGCTACGAAGCAGCAGTTTCTGCTAGACGAGTGAATGAAAACTTCTCATACAACACTATAATTGACAAAGACATTCAAGGAAACCTCAGAGATACAAAGGCAACTCCAAACAATAGTTTAGTCTCCGAAAATTATACAGTGGTGGCTCATCAAGGAATCCCGAGCCCACGACGATTGCGACATCAGAATAGAGTGAAAGGCAAAGAAAACGAACCATCTTTTTCGAGGCCTACAAATCAACCTCGAGTATCATTGATTATTTCTGCTGTAGAAAGCCTTGACTTTGATTCGTCCGACGAGTCGGACTTAGATACAGACACTAAAGGGCGAAAGCAATTATATTCGCCATCGGGGGGAGAGATCAAGCGTGAGAAAAGTACGAGTAATAAAGACGAATTACAACCGGAACGGGCAAGAAAAATATCAGCGTCGTTCGACAGAGATCGAAAATCTCCGTCTACTCAATACAGTGGTCGATCGTCCCCAGCTATTCTCGAAGCAGTAAACGAAGAGGAAGCAGTTTTTCCAGCGAGTAAGTTAAATTTATATTGGCGAGTTAGTTAATTAAAAATTAATTATGTGATGGAATAAAAATTTTCTTGAAGCCAATTTAAAGTTCTTCTTGAAATGTGCCAGAATCTTAGGAGAGCTTTTGGCGAAATAGGAATTTTTTATTTGCATCCATGACTGTATATCATATGACTAGCATAATATGTTTGACAAAAATGATTTAATCTTCATTGCAATGCTGCGAAACTTCAGCATATCTTTTCTATATATATATTACTTTTTACAAATATCAGATTATACCTATTGCTCCATTTCGTTGGAATTGGCACTAATTTGTTTCAGAGCATTATTTGTTGTTGTCGATCGATTCCAATTAGCATTCTGAGATAACACTTCCGCTATGACCGTGCCCACCGAAGTAAGTTCATTTAATCGATTCGTGAATTCGCTAAACATAATTTTCTCATAATGAGTTAAACTTTGATCAATAGCGAGCATGGAAGGATAAGATGGTATTTTATATATTGAGCCCATTTAATTGCATTTAGTCCGTAAACTCGACAACCAGATAGTTTACTTTGTAGCAATCAGTATTTATATCAGATGAATGCATTATAGAATCACCTACTACAAGGTCGAGATCATCTCCTGTTGGTACACATCAGTCATCATTAGATATGAATGCACTATATGCTGCACTAGGACAACATCGAAAATCGGAAGGAGATGTATTCGGCGGAAGAAAAAACGATGACGAGAATCCGTTCCATCAAGGTGAGCTTTAGGATATTATGGCTTTCAGTAAAATTCTATCCCAGACGCGGCTTAAAAACGCAGGTCTGGCGAAACGGTATATTATTCTCCAGATGAGGCCTCTAATAGGATTTCAATATATGACGGTGCTTTCCATTTTACATTGACGATAAAATTATATGTGAAGAACTGCGAAATAACTGCATAACAAGAATTTGTTTATTCAAGAAATCTTTTAATTTGTATTTACGAATTTGAATTTAACGAATATTTCTAGCTATCTATCAAAATTGACCATTTACTCAATATCACATACTATGTTTTTTATCGTGTCATTATTATTTTTTATTTTTGTTCTTATTTTAACAGAAGGTCTGCAAAGAGATCGCACACGAACGGAGTCGCAATCATCAACAACGGGCCTGCCAAGCGCGAAATCACTTGGAGATCATTCACCTAACAGCTCAACACTCTCAGTGAACAAAGGTAAATTGAATGATATATTCTTAAACTATTATACAGATATATGCAAATTACAAAGAGATTAAATGAAATCATATTTTACGGCAAGATTACTTTTTCAGTTTTGATTGGAGATATTTTTTCATTTTGTTATAAAATCCATTTTTTTCTGATAAATTATTATCATATAATTATTGCTGAAAGGCCAAACATAGTATATACAAATCCAACATTTTCTTCAACCAAATTAAATCCTCATTCAAACTAAAATTAAAAACATAATAATTTTTATGTGAGTTTCTTATACCTTACTGAGATTCAAATATATAGTGAAGATTAAAACCAAATTATTGACCCATATCAGATTGATTTTTTGCGATTGCAATTATATTGTATTGGCGTGGTTGACAAGTAACTGTATTACAATGTCCAAGTTGCTGTATTACAATGTCAATATGCATTGTTTTCGGAATAATCTTATCGATTTCTGACTAACTTGCTGTGATCGTTTATTGAGACAGTGTTGTATATGCAAAAACATATGCATTTGAGCATAATATGAGATCTGAATTCGATGTGGCATTCACATATCAAATACGTATATTTGTAACAACTTTAATCTACTCCATCGAAGAAACTATTACGATTCATTTAATAACAAAAATGAAGAGAATACAGTTATTTTGCAAAGGAAAACGTTCTTTACAAATCTGTGTTGAGTTCAAACTCATTCACATGTTTTATTACAAATTAGTCAGTAAGTACTTTGGAAAATTTATAGATGCCAGTAAACATGTCGAATATTGATGGTACTGATGAAAACAAGCAGTTGTAATTTGAGTGCGATGTTTTAACGGCGTTCAAATTTCTATGTATAAAAAGTTTTCAGTTGTTATTTCAACTTATTTTTAGAGACATTCCCAGGAAGACAAGGACGCCGACGCAGTTCCATGCAAATGCCGATAGATTTGAGTCAAATAAATCCCAAATTGTACGAGGTAAGAATACAGTCTATTATTGAGTTAATGCCAAGCGATGAATAAAGGAAGAAAAGTTGTGAAAAGATTGCATAATATATATAGCCCATCCCATCCATCCCCTCCAGCAGCTTCATTTTTATCAAAACTAATTTGTTAAAAACGGAAAATATCTACTGCCAGGACCTCAGATCAATGATCCTTATTTATTCCTCGATCACATAAGCAACAATAATGAAACCTGCTAAAGCTGCAAGACTAGTTGATGGAATTACGCCCCATTACACGAGCATTCCATCCAAGCCATGATAATGGAAGTGAATATTGTTCCATTTATGTATATTTAAAAAATTTACGATCTCCCTTGAGAATACATCTATTACTTCACCAAGGGTTCTCCAAGATTGTATATCGTACATAATTAATAGAAACTACTTTCGGGACATTTTTATCATGGCTTTACTGACTTATTCTTTGCGGTTTATTATCTGTATAAACCACAATAGCAAAACGGCATTATGACAGAATACTTTGTATAAACACTCATTTGTACTAATATTTCCGTTACTTTAAGCATATTTGTCGCAGTGCTAGACTTCTAAAATATAGACAAAAAGTAGTAAGACTAATATTTTAATTTGATGATTTTACAGTTTCACTAGATAATTTTTAGATGACAGCTCAGACATTCAAATTGAAAAAAACACTTTCAACACAAGATTTAATTGCAAACCAAACCACTTTTATCAAATTGACTGGAACCGCTTCTATTAAGTTTTAATTAGAATTAATGAACCTAAGACTCAATTTTCCACTGAATTTCATCGATTTGTGAATTTGTCTCACAGTCCCATAATCTTATTGATCGAAAATATGTCCCACTTTTATCCTGTGTGAGCGTGAGGCCCTTATTCATCTGGTAGATTATCCATTTAAGTGCAACGGACTCACGAATAAATATTCTTGAAATACCCAAAAATGGAACAAAATCCGAAAATAAAACAAATTTCCATCCTAACCAACAAGATGGATTCTAGCTCATGGAACGATTGATATTTATTTTTAGCATACTGATAAATTGCCCAGCATGGACTCTGAAGAACCAGATGTTGAATCACCACAAATTCATTTTACACTGGACTATAACAAAGATCTAGAAGTTTTGATCGTTAAATTGATTCAGGTGGTGGATTTAAACAAATATTTCTACATTTTGCAACTTCTACATTTAACAAAATCGGATTGGAATTCTATATTTATTCTGAGTGAGCGTAATCATATGGTAAACTACGGTTTCTTACTGATCCAGGTCGTCATGGGAATATCTGTAGCCAGTTAGTTGTTACAGATGAACCAATCCTAACCAGAATTCAATTTATGTTAATTGAATTGCTTTTCCCAATTGAATTATGGGGTACTGAGATAGGGTATTTGTTTTCTGTTTAGCTTATTTAAAGACTAATTATAAGTCTGTTAGAATTCAGGAAATCATTCCCTCTTTCTCTTATCAATGTCAATATCAATGTTATCGCTATTAGAGAAACATAAACGGTAAATAAAATGATATAATTAATAAATTACTTATGAATGCTTTGAAAATGTAGACCAATTTATATCAGAAATAATCATTTTTTTCTTCAGTTTGATAAATGCCCATATAAGCTAAATATTCCCACAGTCGTTGAATACGTCGGTGGTCGATGTTCAGGCTACAACATCAAACCATCTGCCATGCACAGACATCTTATTTGAAATGTCAATAAACTTATTATTTGATTTACAATAAAAAAGACAAGGAAATCGATTTTCTGACACCAGGTCAGAGAAATCTTATTTGCAAGATTCCGTTAACAATTAATATTGGCTGATTTTTTTTTCGCTGACGTACGTAAGACTCTAAAATTAGTTATATTTCTACGAGAAAATTGAATGAACGTCTGTCCCACATATCATAGCAAAACATACAGGAGTCTGTTATTTTATTGCTCACGAAGGCGTCAATGAAATGAATATAAATCAAATTACGTGTTTTCTAACACGTTAATTATTTTTGTAGGCAAGAAATTTGGAAAGTCAGGACTTCAGTGGCACTTGTGATCCATATTGCACTGTGACATTACTGCCCGGATTTAACGCTCGACAAAGCAAAGTGCACCGTCGCACCACAGATCCGGAATTCGAAGAAAAATTTTCATTTTCAGTGAAGCTTGAGAATATGCGAGTAAGCTGATTTGCACGTTTTATTTCCCTCATGACATTTACAATAAAATATTAAACGAGATTTGGGATTTCAATTTAATTCAAAATTGGATTCAAACGTAATCACTTGCCTTATTAGAGCCCCCCGCAAACACACATAGGTTGCTGTAAATTTGCATAAATGGTTGATAGAAATACGCGCAGTACAATATCACGAAGAAAACGACGATATAGGGCCAAAAGTAGGATAACTGTTATCCATGGTTACTTAATTTAATAACTGTTAACCATCTTTAGGTCCACCCTGTATGTATTCTTTAAAATAAATTTGTATTATTGCTTTGAATTGCGTAATTATAAGACAAATGTACAACAATTGACGGCATGGTATTTCCTATATATATATGGTTAGAATTTGTTATCACTACCTGCATACTTTACAGTTTAAAACATTGGAGATACGCACATACGATTTTGATCAGTTTTCGAGAGATGAATGTACAGGAATCATGCAGATGAAATTGGATGTTATAGATTTCGAACTAACTCCGCATTACGACTTGTGGAAAAAGTTCGAAGTTCAAGATCTGCAAACGTCAGAATTGGTAGGAACCGTCTCCTGCATTTTAAACCAATTGTCCTAAACTATTTTATTGTACCATACCAATTCTGTCATTAATTTAGAATTAGAAATGCAGATATGGTGTAATTGCGTCTAAATAATATTCCTGTAAAATATAGTGCTTCGTCAATTGTAAATAAAATATTTGCAGGTTGCAGACTATAATCACTGCCACCCTGCTAACATATCTTATCTTCACTGGCGACGCAGGCAGATAAATTAAACATGTCATGAATATGATTAAATTAAGTTGTGTTCATAAGGTTCCCTCACTGTCATTTATTCATTTCTTATTCATATCTTGCACCTCCCGAGATGTTTTATTGAAATTAAATGAAATTGAAAATGTGTGCAGTATACTATAGGCAAGACTGTGGTTACTTCTAGCAAAGTCAAAAGTTTGTCATTATTTATATAACTGGTTTCAATTAATTCTGAGATGGACATGTAGACAGAAATTACATAAATATTTTAATGTTTTAGTTTGCAAAATCAATTTAAACCAGTTGCTTTTTCTAACACAAGTTTAAATTATTTTATCTAAATAATTTAAGGATTTGTAGCTGGCTGCCTAATAGCAAGAATTGGTCTTGGGAAACTGTATTATTTTACTTTTTCTTTATTTTTTGTCATACTATTGTTTACGTTTAGTCTGAAACTTGTGGAGATTTACTGTTAGCTCTGTCTTATCTTCCAAGTGCTGAGAAGTTGACTGTAGCTATACAGAAAGCAAGAAATTTAAATTCTCCTGAAGGTCGAAAAGGTCCACCAGGTATTGTAGATATAGTAATTTGAAGATGAAATATATAGATTATATATATATGGTTAAATTCCTTACGTACGATTTTCTTGGGGGTCGATTTCTTAACTAGATGTATCAAAAAATTTGTAACACTAATAAACCGCAATTTATCCATGCAACGTGAATGTACCTTTTTTGTAGATACATATATTAAAGTCAGCATATTTCGCGGAAGTCAAAGGTTGAAGAAGAAGAAAACTGACACGGTACAAGCGACACACAATCCGGTGTTCAACCAAGCTCTTACATTCAGTGTATCGCCGACATTATTGCAATGTCCCCTTGTTCGTATAACCTGTCAAGCTGTCCACGATCAGAAGTTATCATCTAATGCAGAACTAGGATTTCTGGAAATTGGTCCAAGTAAGATACAATGTTCGAATATTTATATAATTGTTTTTGGAAAGGCGGTATCGTCTGTTCCAAGTATATAGACATATTTTGTAATTTCATTCAAAGAAAGATGAGATGCAAACTGGGGTACTTCGCAGCTAACGTTCTTAAAATATGTTTCTTAAAAACATAACAATAAAACATTAATAATATAGAAGCTACAAACAAATTTTTGAATTTTAATATTTTTGGGAACATCTATTTATAACTTTTTCATAAGATTTAGTATGCAAAAATTTTCCAAGGTAGTAAGAATACACACTGTATACATACGGAATGTAATTTTTAAATCGAAAATGGCATGTCAGAGTGAATAAAAATGCGTTCTGGTAAATTAACATATCTACAGGTTCGAAATGCGAAGAGGAATTAAAACATTGGAGAGATGTCTCGGGTAAACATTCCAATAAGCCAGTGGCAAGATGGCACAAGCTTCACGCACCAGAGGCAAACAATGATGATTCAAAAGGAAGCTTCCTGAACCTTGCAAACGTCCGAAGATCAAGTAGTTCTGTGCTGTATCCACAGAGCGACAAACCGGAATCGGGAAGAATTTCTCCGTCAGTGCGAAGGTCTTTGACGTAAACAGAAACATCATTACGTCTAAGTCAAGGCCGGAAAATGTTCGAGATGAAAATGAAATTATTCTAAATACGCTTGTTGTAACGGAGTGCGCGCTCACTGTTGTCTTCCCACTAGCCCAAACATTGTCTACATAAACAAAACTTCCTATACGCCAAATAATTGAGAATGAGCTCAACATGAATATGCCGACTATGCGAAGTTTCGTTATGTGTATTCTAAAATAGTTTGTTATCGTTTTGTTATATTTCTATATATACATAAGAAGTTCCTTTGCACATCTTTTCCTTACATTACCGGTAAATCTTCAATATGACATTTTTGATGAACACCAAGGAAAGCAAACATTTATTACACTCTTCTCAAGTGCACACCACATCTAACAGAAAATACTATTTTCCTTTAATAATGAGGTGCACAAAAAAATTTATCGAGCCTGGTGCAACTGTTTGTTTATTTTTAATTTTCAACTTTAGTCATTATAATAATAATTATCTCATTTGCTATTAATTGCAAAATGTTGGAGATTATTGTCTCATAAATCTAAAATTTCGTTATTAAAACGTACTTGAAGTTGAAGATATATTAGATGAGCACGAACACAATCAAATGGACATATTGAGCAAATCTGATATTGTGCTATTCTATGTACTCGCGGTATTATCAGGGTAATGGCGCATAATAAATTTTCATACAGCCATCGATTTCGAGTGTAGTTAAGTTGCGCCACGGGTGATCCGAGCCCCGAGTGTATTATCGAGTCTCAAGTCAGTCAAGTCGAGTCATTACCGCTTCGAGTCTAGTCCCGAGTCCTATTGCAAACTAGACTACGTCACCAAGCTTACTGAAGTAGACCTATTCCGTAATTCAGAAGGTTTAATAAACTGATGCAGCGAAGCAGGTTTGAATTTGCAAAACAAGCCGTGTATCACGTGACAGAACAACACCATCTGAACGTATTAAATTGTATGAAATTAGCGCATTTTAGTTGAAAATGAGTTTTTCCTATCATGCACTATCTGATGATAAACATATAACTTTAATGTGTATTTATTATTCAGGATAGAATTAAGATATAGATAGGAACAAAGAAACAAACAATCTAATTCTAAAATATATACAATAAGTAAGAGCACATGAACGAAACAATATATAAAATAAATTCTGAAATCTGGAAGAAATGTTAGCAAAAATCCTATTTATCAATTACTTTTCAAGTTCCGGTGTTAGTTTTCGAGCAATGTACTCAAAACACCGGTTAGCGAGGTGCAGTATTAGACAAACTAGCATTTGTGCAATATCTTAATGATGAAAAATTAATTTTCATTCAAAAAATTACCAAATCCTGTCAATCACAGGTGAAATGCAGCCCAAGGAAATGCTTCATTGCATTAAAATATTTCTTTGACTTATTTTTTTTACAACAAATACAAATACTCCTTACTTATTTTATAACATATATTTTTTCAACAAATTAATCGAACTATATATTTCGTAGGTTGTTAAATAGGTGCACTCTGGGGAAAAAAGTTTAGAAAACACTGGTATGTGCTACCAATAGACAGGCAAAAGCATTGCAAATTCTTTACACTATTACCATACAAATTGCTCAACCAAGGTGAAAGACAGAAAATTCAAAATACAATTGGATCTGATAGATTTAGTGAAAAATAATTTTAATTTAGGAATATTTTGCTGATTATTGATAAGAGAGTTTCATAATTTTTTTACATAACCGAATGTGCTTTGTAAATGCTTTATTTCATGTTGCGAGGCATGTGTGCCTATGCTCTACACTCCCCTCAATTTGAGCCCAAATATTAACTACCCAGATGTAACATAAGTTTGCCACATAAAAATACAAACCCTTGTGATATTAACATGAAAAACCAATAGGCGCACAACATAAAGTTTAGAATACAGCAATTAATTTTTGCCTTTCTTTTTTCTTGGTCGGCTTCTACCTTTTTTCAACTTAGTATCTACGATCTGTTGTGATCTCCGTTTCAAAGCATCTCTTGTTGGCGCTCCAGTGTCATCCTCACCACTCTCTGCATCTTCATCTAAAGAAGGTTAATGGAAGTCAACCAAAGTAATAACTGTTATATATAACTGTTAAAAATTGCTTTTGATACAATTAAGTGTTGCTGGGACAATTTGTTGTTTTTCTAAGATAAGTACAGCCTTTTTTCTCATATAAAAACATCAAACAAACCTTCATAGGCGTCATGTTTTTGAGCCGCAGGTAGATTTATTCGAGTATTCGATGGTGGCAACTTCCCTTCAATGCTGGAGTGAAACTGAAAAAAATAGTTTTAGATGTTTTAAAATGGTTAGTCAAGGGAAGATGAGAATTAAATAAGTGACTAAATGTCCATATAATTAACCTCCTGATGCCAGATTGGACTGAATCTAAAATAATTTAAACCAATCTGATATCAGCATGTTTCCAATAGGGCTGGGGAAACTTCTTGGTATAATGAGACGCAAAACTTTAGGCTAACCCCCAATGGACCTCACAAAACTTTGATACTCAAATGCTAAATAAAATATAACAAAATTAATAGGATATTGTATTTAGACAGATGGATTCCACATTTATTTAACTCAGATTGGGACTAAGAAAGCCTGGTGAAGTTTTATTTAATAAAACTTTCAAAACCTCTGATAACTAAAATATATATTAGCATACAAATGATGAGGTCATTTCCAATATTTCTTATAGAATAGACATCTCGCAGCATTTTATGGTTTATGGTTATTGCCAATCACAGAAATTGAGATGTTTAGACCAGCCCTCCATTAGGCAGCCTTTATTTCAAGTATACATTAGGTAAATTGTTGGTGGGACATTCAATGTGTTTTGAAACCAAGATTCTGAAACTCTTACTTTGCAGTGTTTATTTCATAGCAAATATATGCCATTTTTAGGAAAATCCATCCCATTGCGGGGAACAGCAGGATATGTTGTAGATAGATTACCAATAATGACGAGGCATTTCAAAAAATATTTATACATGAACAAAAAGTGCTGTTAACATGTCATAAATACTTCGCTGATCACATTGAATATTATATGGCCCACCGGCTTCAGTTTTCCCTCCCCTGGTCTAAACTAAGGCATCACCATTCTGTCGAAATGTTTCATGTGTAGTTCTTAACATAGACAAGAAAATTTCACCTCTTCCTCCTCCATTTGTCTCAATATATCTGCAAGCTGTCGCCCATCTAATTCCTCGAGTAATTTGAGAAGTTTTTCCTCTGATATTGAGAGAAGATCAAGTACATACTCATCAGAAGATGGTGATAAATGAGCAGTTGGAACATGACTTTTCATCTGAAAATAATAATCTTATTTCAGGACAATCCCAAATAAATAACTGAAATTTAATAGATAAAGAACTTATGAAGAATAAGTCATCTTTTTCACTGTGTAACCCATGAAATCAATACAACAAAAATAATAAGAAAAAATTCCAATGGCAGGTTGAATCTTCCCTCAGGAAAAAAAAATTAAGTTGTCATGGAGACATTATTCCTAGTTTTGGGGATGCCACAAAGGATATTTACTTTTATGATTTGTTATAAATTACCGTGTTGTTAAGAAAAAACAAATTTCAGACATCCAGTTAGTATAATCAGTACCATGAAACGCCTCATAAACATATGGAACGAAAAAAATGTATCTATAACTTCGAACACATACCGTTTTGAGGTGTTGTAGTTTGTCTGCAAGATGTTCAACTCCAGCTTTCACACTCACAAGTATACCACTTGCTCTCTCCAATTTCTCTGCAGCATCATCTCGTCTTTGCTGCTCTTCCATCAAATGCTGCTCAAATTCTTCCAACATTCGTTGACCACTGAATCAAATACAGAAGAAGAAATATGATTTGTATGATGAAAATGCTTTTATAATGAGAAGAACAACTTCTTTTCCATAGAACAAACAAGTAGCAGAATATACCAAAATGCATGTCAAATTTAAAATATAGTTTTATCTCAAGTCAGATTGCTGTTATAACCAAAAATGAATGAATATTGGTACAGTATATTACTACTTATCCTAAATGGATATAACCAGATTCAGAATAATGCATACTAGTATAACTGAACTTAAGCACAACACAGAGTAATCACAATCACTAGAATTTAGTAGATGAGAGAAAATTTACTTTGAAAGTTTAGCTTCCCCAGAATATTTCATTTCTTCATATTCCTGTTGTAATTTCTCTTTCTCTTCCTTCAATCTATCAAGTTGTTTCTTATTGTTTGCCTTCAATTCTTCCAGATGTTTCTGAGTTTCTCCTTGGGAACGGAATCTATCCACAACTTCCTGAAAAACAATTACGTAGAAATTAGGTACACCGGAATTTTGTATATAAATATATATATCATGGGAAAGAGAAGAGTCGATAAGATGGCTCATTTATATGGCAAACCATGTCTCATTTGGTTACCAGTCTGTGACGATTAGGGCAATAGTTACCAACTGATTTAAATGTATGTACTTGGTTGTGGAAGAAGCTGTAACTGACCAGCGATTACGTGAACCACTCTACAGTGATGAAAAATCCAGTAATCATCGGGCACATAATCATCCCCCGCGGGATTTGAACCTACAGACACACACAGTGTAACCAAAGTTGTGCTGGAATAAGCACTCTTAACACGAAGCGCGAACAACAGGAAATTAAGAGTGCTGAAATCTGATTCATATCCAACAAAGGTATTTTAAATCATTGTGTTTATTGAGTATAGAAATTGGTATTCTTTATTACCGGTAATTGAAAACATTTTTTATTATTGTTAAATGTTTCATTTCTTGCCATTATTTTCTTAGTAGTTATACTCAGCTTAGTTATCAAATCGATAGGTTTGGAAAACAATTAGGTAGTTATATTATGATATATAGAACATGATATATAAACGAACGAACTTGCACATCCGATACTCCAGTCGCTTCTTTAATCCTGATGAAAGCTTCCTCAAATGTTGTGATTTTCTTCTCTTGTTCTTCTTCGGTGAGAGCAGGTTTCTGTCCCTCCTGTCCAAGTTCTTGCTCACCTAATGCTGCTCTCTGCATCTGCAAATTTTAAAGAGGAAAATATAAGAAATATATTTATTTCACAAAGACTCATTCAGTATAGGTGGTATTGCATACATTCTTGTACTGTTTCAAGTAGAATCAGAAATTTGTTGCACAGAACAGATCACTCCATACAGAGACTTGTATATTTGCTCTGAAGTCCTATGAGCAATTTGTGATATAGCACTAATGAAGTCGATATTCCAAATCTTGCAAGAATAAAAATTGTTAATTAAGGTTGTACCACAATACAATGTAGGCTACATTGCTATATATTTGATGTTGGAATTTTAGATCAAAGGAGAATTCCCCACAATACATTTTTGATGAGATTTTCATGATTCAAATTTAGATTTCAAGTTATTATGTATTGAGGCTTAAAATTAAACCACTAATTCAGATTTCAAAAAAATTTGGTTACCCTTCGTTCTACTCTTTCTGCATGAGCCTTCTTTTCTTCAGCTTGTAGTTTGAGTTCAGCCAGAGCTTCTTCTCTTTCTTTTCTCTCTCTGATAAAGTATTAAAGAATAAATTGCTTCCAATCATCAATTAACCTTATATAACACTATTTTTTCCAATGTAATAATTCTTATGCAAAATAAAACATAATACTACAGAATTTTAAAAATGTCTTATCAACAGATTATTAAAGGAGATCAATGTGACCAAACTTAAAATTTTTCTAATTTACCATGTCTATTAAACAAACAATAACATACTTGTAAACAATAGCTTCATGTCTTGCTAATTCCTCTTTAGCATCATCTCTTGCAACTTGAGCATCACTATACATGGACTGAACTTCTTTTAATTCATGTCTTGTTTTTAATATATCTGCTTCCTGAGCATCTAATTGATTATGGAAAGTCAGACTCTCCTGTTAAAATAAACACAGTTTATAGACAAGTTCCTTCTTATGTGTGGGATAGAAACAATTCCATTGTCGTCTGTTCGACACAAATATTTTGTTTTGAATAATTGATATTTTAATACTCATTTGCTTTCGCATATGCTTTTATAGGAATAATGAATAAATGAACAATTTTCATTTAATTGAATTTCAAGATAATTCTCTCACAATAAAATGATGAAACTACCTAAAATGATCCTTGCAATCACTGTTTTGCAATTGTACCGTGTAACATTGTTGTTGCAAATGAGTTTCCAACCGGTTGTTTATCACGAATAGGTTCTACTGACTTACGCACCTGTTGTAAATGGGCTTTGATTTTTTCATAAACTTTACTGATGTGATCTGCTTCCTGACTTTTTAATCTTGCTTTATCCAAACGATTTTCCAGTTGTCTTAAATGCTATTGTAATGTAAACATAAAAACAATTCTCAAATATGTTGACACAAGGGTCATATACCAGTGTTTCCATACTTCGTAAAAAGCGTTTTCAGAAATTAAAAAAAAAAAAAATAAATTTGGGTAAATATGGGGGCCAATATGACTCATGGAAAATTAAAACAATATATAAGTAATTATCATCTAGCATCTATTTTCATCTTTAAATACTAAAGATTTGAAATTGATTTGAGATTGATCCCCTTGTTGCGGTGAAAGACAATTTTCCCAATAATAACAATTTAGCAAAATGATGCATGTACACCTCATGTCGTACAGTGAGCATGACTAAGTTTTGCTAAAACTTGAATTCAGACGAATCATAACAAGAATAAAATTGAATATTCATAGATGGATTGATCGATGATTTAACAATTCAAATTCTATACCAGATTATTACTGAAAAGTCAAATTGTATTTTGACATAAAAATGTTCTCATTATCTGTAGGAAATATCGACCAGTATCAAATTTCTCAATATCTCTGTATTGGGCATTGTTTGCAGGATTGGAAATGATGTGTGAAGGCTGTGTGAAATAATAAAGATGCTATCATTGCTTATTTTCCTTAAGTTAAATAAAACAAATTTCTAATCACAAAAGAAAATTGAACTATTTTACGAATGAAAAAAATCATATTTACCTGAGCTGATTCACTCTCTCCTTTATCTAACTCTTCAGCAGCTGATTTGTCCTTCACCATCTGATCATGTTGGGTTTGAAGTTCATTCAATTTTCTTTTTCTTGCTTCACTCGTCGATTTCAAAGCATTCAATCTCTTCTTACTGTCACAAACCTGGGCATAATTTTACAAGGTTAGGAGCAATAATACAAATAAAATTACAAATAAATTGATAAATTTTAGATTACAATATTACAATACAATATTTTACTAGATTCAAATTAATTTTCTGGTAATACTTTTAATTTTAGGTCAATTCCAACTCATAGCAGGTTTAATTTATTGTAGAATGACTTGGATACAAAGTAGTCACATGCTAGAAAGGCACTTCACAAATCTCACCAAAGAACACCTTTATATTGAAGTTGTATAAAAGTATATTGTCAAAATTAAAAAATAAATAAAATAACCTTTTGATCTATAATCATGATAGCAGTTTTTCCAGACTTGTTACGCAATGCTGCTCGTTCCACATGTCTACCTTCAAATGCTTCATCTATAACTTTATCATCTCCCTGAACAAATCAAAAAGCATGTTCAACAAATGTAAAAAACACGAATGTAATTGAAAAAACATGAGCCAAATTGCACAGATTGTGAAGTTTGAAAACTTTGGAGGTTGTTTTCTAAAAATGTAAACAATGCTAGCTAGAGGATACAGAGAATTCACAAAATATTCTTAATTCTCACACAGAATAGGCTACTTACCGCAAGCAGATCTGCTAATGTCTTGTGCAATGTTTTATTCTCTTGTCTCATTCTCGCGATAATCTCTCTGTTCTTCTTGATTGACCATTGTGAACTTTCATAATAAGCTTTACGATCACCCTCTATAAAAATATAAATTATGAGTTGACTGATCAATAGTAGGTGAGAAAATTTGATCTTTTGACAAACTAAAGTTTAAAATGAGGTTAAAATCAAACCCAGTAGTGAAATCACACTAAATTCAATGGAGCACAGTTCTCTGATTCCAAGATGTTTTAATATTTGGTTCAATAAAACAAACACACAATTTATCTCTGAAACAAGGGCGACAAGGGCCATGCTTGTTTCAATAATTTAAATTTATCATGGCGTTTTTAGCTAAAAACTCTCGAAAGCTATGGTAAAATTTTTTTCAATAAAACGAAAATATGAGGCATTTTTGGATTGCGCTGTCTTTTAGTTTGTTGTGCAGTGCCGGTTTTTCGTCAGTATGGAGGCCCAGACTGTCTCAAGAAGAAATGGGTTGCATTCACTGTTATAATTGATGTCTTTTAATATGGGGACTATCCTTGGAATCGGAGAACTGTGTCCTACTGATATTTGGATTAAAAGAGATACTAAAAAACAATATTACTACAATATTCTGATGACAAATATATAAATGCAGTGATGATCACTGAGACTTGTAATGAGTTCATTCAACATTCTGACAATTGATCTAACTTACCAGAATTTAAGTGAAAATAAAGTATATCATTGAGTGAAAATAACATATAGGCTACAAATAATTATAATAATGTGTCAGTGTGTAGAGTTTGATACCGCAAAACACCATGATACAGACATACACCATTCTGGACTGCGGTAATTAAAAATTACTAACTTACCCAAAAGCGAAATTTTTTTGGTGATTTCCGATATTTGTTCTTGAATTGGAGGTTTATGCATTCCTGACTGACCTCTCATATTGCCGTTGAGGCGCTGTATTATATCAGTACAGCGATGAAATAAAAGTATAACTTTGAAGTCACAAATATACCTCCAAACAACTAACCGCGCAGATCACGTAAACCAGAATCGTGCCGGTTTAGAGAATGAACACGAAACGTTGCCGGTAGCAACAACTTTGCTCAAACATCGGTGAGAAGTGCTTACCGGAGTCAATATGAAAAGAAGGTGTTAAAGGTGGGTTATCACAGAAATTATTTTTGATGAATTTCATTTTATATATTTTTTTAAAATTTTGACGCTTACTATTTACATAGAGTCGACTTAGTTTTCTACTTATTAATTTTAAAAAATACATTTAACGAAAATCGTCCGCAGTTCAGAAAGGACCTTTGATGACGGGGAACTGAGAATTCCTTCCAGGGCTTCATCGCGCATTCGCGAGTAGGATGTTTAACCTCTGTTATTGGCATTTCATTATGGTTTCTCGTTGCGTAGTTTCATAAAGATTGGAACAATAATGCCGCAGGTCGTGCCCTTAGTAAGGACTATTGCTGCAAGCTCTGCGGTAATTTCGAAATCATTATTAACTCCCCGTAAGAAGATCGCCAACTGAGCAGTAACCTTGATGCCAGCATTGATGACTACAGGATGCCAGTGCTATCGTCAAGCGCCAAGGAATACGAGGAATACGCTGGCCACGGGTTAGGCGACCCTTCTTTAAAGAAATCTGTAAGGTCCTTGCTAATGATACGAATCATAAGTTATAGAAAACGAATAGACAGACCGTCCGTTCAAAAGCCTTTCTTGAATCTTTTTTGTTAACGATGGAAATAATTTCATATTCTAGTATAGGCTCCAGATAGATTAAATTTTTCTGAGGTTTGCCCAAATACTTCATAAAATTTATAGAATTATTTGCTAGCTTCGATGCAAGATTAGGTCCAAAATTTACAAAGTAAGTGTTAAATACTTGGCATATGGACTGGGGGTTGTATATGATTCTATGAGTTGTCTCAATTTCGTGTGGAAAATTTCCTTTACGTTTCTTATTGGTGATTGTGTTAATGAGACTCCAAGTCTTATTTTTGTCGCCCTCTATAGTTCTTTAAATTCTGCTTTGTAAAATTTCGTTTAAGCCTTTTTCTTGATGTGTGAGAGAATGTTGAAGTATCTTTTGTGATACCTTATTTTTGATTTGTCGGTCGACAAAAAATGACATTTATACAAAACGTTTATGAGTCAAGATTAATTTCTTGATATCTATTGTGAAACATGGTTTCAAGACAAATCTCAGTTCTATGGGTGTTTTTTCCTCAGTGCGGCATGTTTGTCAACAACCGATTTTAGAGTTTCCAGAAGCGTACCGAATGATTTTTCAATATCAAGCTTGAATAAACAGTCAATATTTAATTTAGCTGTTGAGTTTTCAATGTCTTCCAAAAATGATTCAAGGTGGAAGTATTTCAATGATCGCACAAATTTTGTCTCTGAATTCTTTTTTAATGGTTTATTGCGAAGTATACACACTGAAAAGATGGTCAGAAATACCATACCACAAGGCATAATCCAACAACTGTAAATCGTTTTTGTTGCTGTATATATATGTGATCAATTGATGTGCAAGAAATATCAGTGATTCTGGTATAGGCGCAGTTGTGAACACTTGTAATGAATTAGACAGTAACATGTTTGAGTATTCAAAAACGAAGGAATCGGAAGTTTTGCACAAATTTATTTTAAAGTCGCCAAGAAAGAAAGCTGTTTTCTTGTTTATCATAATTTTGTGCAGCGACTCGTTTAGCAATGTGTGGAATTTTTTGCGAGCTTGTTTGGCATGTCTATATATTACAGGTACAATCACTTGTTTGCTATTGTTCAGATTGACACTTATCCACAGATCCTTCCAGCCAACAAGATTAAGCTTATATTCATCTGTTTTGAAATATTCAACATAGTCTTTTATGTAAAAACACACTCCCCCGGCCGTTGTTGGAGAATCCTCGTGTATAAAAGAGTAACCTGAGAAGAACTGAATATATACCTGAAGAAGATATATATACAGATATACAAAATAAGACTGGGTACAGAATTACAGACAACACCCACATAAAGTATTAAATCTAGATGATTTAAGACAACAAAAAATAGCCTAGAATGTTATTTCACAGAGATCGAGTTTTTTTTTCAACCTCAATTTGTTAAGTTTACTGTCATTCTAATAATGCAACGACATTCTTTGAAGGTATTGGTATGTATTTAAACCACTGCGGCGTTTGCCAAGTGCAACTCCCAATAGAACTAGCATACGGTTCAAAATAAGAACACAGAACGCTATGAATGCCTTTAACCTAATGAACAATTATGCCGACGAGGTTTTTGCAGGGTTGATTTTTATAAATGCGTGTCTCGCAAACAAAGTCCACCATACGTAAGCAGTAAACGCCAAAATTCTTAAAAAAATATATATAATTAAATTCGTCATAAAACTTTATCCGTGACAACCCACTTTTCTAAATAGAAATAACGACAGCACCTAGTGACTGTGGTGCATAGTAAAATGCGTCAAAAAGGTTAATAATATAAACGCAAAGTTTACATACCTACTTCACACTCTTCTCGAGAAAATGGGCCCGAAAATGGATCACTTCACATAAGAAAATTTTTGCTTTGCTGTGATTATTCAACAGTAGAAAGTATATTTGCGAGTAGTTTCAATTTACTACCATATTCAATAAATAAATAATTACCTATACTGTTCCAGTAATCTATTAACGATTAGTATTCCCCCTTACATAAAAAGCATAGATGTGAATGTTTTAGAGGAGCGATGCACATCATCATACAGCAGCATTAGCTGAATTTAAACAATTATCATCATGTGCTATCGATTGGGTGTCTCAGGGACTAACTATTATGTTTCTTTAATTTTTTGTGCCGGTGGATCCGTGTTCATACAGTGCAAGGATGCTGTAGTAAGAGTGAAGATGACTATCCTGAAGAGTCTTGATCGACTTGGGATAATTATCATTCATCATGCTATATATTTTTTTATATTTCCAAATATGGGATACACTTGAATGTAACCAGTGGTGGGATTAAGCCGGTACGCATCGGTTCTATAGCACCGTCTCACGGAATTTTATGTGATCAGCGAACCGGTTAGAACTACTGGTTACTGTCAATGGATCAATATAAAATAAATATATACACTATACAGCAATATTTTTATTTTTATAGACAATCCTAAACATCATCAAAAATTTTGACAAAATGAAGTTTACCCAACCATTTTTAGGACTACATGTACAAAGAGACATGCAAAACGACGAAATTCATTGACTTTGTTAAATTGAAAAATTTAGAACTAACTAACAAGAGAGCTATGCTCAAACATATGGACACAAAGTTCATAACGAAATGTTTTGCCATCAATTCCCACAAAATCATACGACATCATGAACGAACCTAAACAGCAACAGTAACTTACCAGTACCTGAATCAGAATATCAGTAATGGTGCACATACTTTCCTAGCTTTTACAGGTTCCGTGTTAATGATCTATGGCTCTATGTACCGTGCTCCCATGAGTAAAAAAAAATAAAGCGAAATTTTAGATGAAATAACAGATCTCAAAGCATCCATGGAAAATATAGAAATTAAGTTATAGTTTAGAAAAAAGCTATTTTTTTAAACGATAAACGCTGCGCTTTGTAGCCAATGTCTGCGGACTGACACGTTGGGAAACACTGTTTTAAACAATCACCAACGGTGGGAGCGAGAGTATTCCTGGACCTATTCATAGTGAAACATGAACGATTGATACTAGCCTACGCTAAAGTTTTTTAAACCGAAGCTTTTGCATGTGATGTTTCATTATCCAGTAAGGTTTTTTTCGACTCAATCGATAGCAAGAAATCTCTCCTACACGTTTAAATGACTGGTTAATCTATATTTTGCAATTATTTTGAATTACAACGCGCTATTTATAAGTAAATGTATATTATATCGGTTTTCATATTCTGTATATTTGAAAATCTCGTGTTTTTCTACTTAGTATTTTGGTTTTTAATAAATAAAAATTTAAGACATCCCCCGAAAATAAGCCTTAGTGTTATTTTTCGGAAGAAAATTGAAATAAGATCCGGTCTCATTTTCGGGGAAACACGCCTGCTTGCTTGCTGCTTGCTTGCGCCTGCTTGGCTCCCACTAGTTCTTCTGCCTTGGGTTATATTTTGGATAATGCAACTCTCATATCGTGTCCCACGTCCATTCTGTTTCGGCATTTTGTTTTAATAGCGAGTAACGTAGAAAAAGCTGCCTCACATCCGTAAGTTGTTGCAAATGAAATAAGCATTTTAGTGTCATCTTAGCGACATCGGGATAGGACGGTGCCACTGTGGTTTTTCTTTTCCTCCAGAATTATCACAGCAAAACCAACTCTCACATATATATGAATCGTTATATCTAATTTCATTTTTATGGCGGGGGCATTTTTAAATAACCCCGAGAAGATTTACAATCAGATGCACGTGCCTTCCATAAACAACAGCCACACTCTTGCTCGTTAACCAACGTTTGTTACGTAATATTGTCTTCGGTAGAGCGTGACGTGCTTTGGAGAAACACTGTAAAAGCATGACATCTAAATTTTACTTCAAATCAAACTGCTTCTGTTCCAAGGTTAAATTGTCTCGCGGTTCCCTAAGCCATGGGTCCGCAACTACTTTTTAGCGCAACCCAAAAAAAATTTTCTTAACTTCCCGCGACCCAAGCATTTGGTAAACATGTAATTAGTTATCGATTTTAAGACTATTGTCGACACTAGCATTTTTCTTGCACAAAATTATATGAAACTTATCACATAAAACTGTGAATAATAGCGTTTATTATGACTAATGCAAATTATAAACTTTGTGTATAATACACAACATATCAAATCGAGGTTTATTTGGGAGACGGCAACTCGAAGATATTTTTCTACCTCTAGCCTCGATCTGTGATTGTATTTTATGTATCAAAACGCTGATAGGCGGGAAAAAATGTATTGGTTTTTTAATTAATTTTGGATGATTTGCTGTAAGATACACGTGAAACCAATCTTTATACATTATTCGCTGTTATTCCGCTTATATGTATGGTTTGAGTGATGTATTTCTATCCGATGAGGGTGAGAAG